GTAGAGGGGTAATAGAGGGAAGTAGAGGGGTAGTAGAGGGACGGTAGAGCGGTAGTAGAGGGGCGGTAGAGGGACAGTAGATGGGTAGTAGAGGGGTAGTAGAGGAGTGGTAGAGGGGTAGAAGAGGGGCGTAGTAGATGGGCAGTAGAGGGGCGGTAGAGGGTGGTAGTAGAGGGGCAGTAGAGGGGCGGTAGAGAAGCAGTAGAGGGGCAGTAGAGGAGCGGTAGAGGGACAGTAGAGGAGCAGGTAGAGGGTAGTTGGGTGGTAGTAGAGGAGGGGCAGTAGAGGGGTAGTAGAGGGGCAGTAGAGGATGGTAGTAGAGGGGCAGTAGAGGGGCATTAGAAGGGCAGTAGAGGAGCAGTAGAGGGGCAGTAGAGGGTAGTAGAGGGACAGTAGAGGGACGGTAGAGGGACGGTAGAGGGGTAGTCTCAGTCTCCATTAGGTCTCAGCAGAGTACAGACAGAATGCTCCATTTATTTCTGAATGTGAAACGTTGAGCATTAGTGAACTTTGAGGCGATGGGTTGTATTTTTCTTTTTCTTTATTGTAAAACTCTAAAAACAACAGATTAAATCAGAGACATTTTATTGACCCAAAGTTTATAATAATGAGGACGAGACTAAGTCCAGTGAAAGTGACCACACATCATTGAAGTGCTCTCTGCCTTGGTAGCTGCCCTGTCAGGTCTCATCAGTGAGCAGCCAGGCCTGGCACAGCGGGGGACGTCCTAGGTCTATTGCCCACTATAGATTGTCTCTTCCTGACCAGGCCTAAAAGTGGGTCGTCCTGTCTGGGTTTGGAACTGACCCAGGGCCAACGACAAGTTTAGGAAAAGAGAAGAAAAGAGATGGAGATTTGTGAAAACCATGAGAGAATCAGACAAAGGCTCAGTGGGTCACAACAACCAGAGAAGTTGCACTTCACCGTGAACTTGATTTAAATTGCTCTGAGTTGACAGAGTTTGAGTGAAGCCCTGAAAGATTAATGAATGCAGAGGAACTTTATCGTCTGAACCAAATCGGCAAGAGACACTGTGGTGATCAACATCATCTTCGCCAAGCGAATGTTGTGGTGATAGAATGTTGGCATCAAAAAAACAGAGTGACATCGCCTGCATACACGCGAGTAAACAAACTGGGCGCCAGTATCTTTGCTCTTCTAGGTGGGTGGAGATCAGTGTCTTACAATTGGATCACTTACTGGGTTGTTTTGAAAGTCGTAGGGTCAGACACTTTTTAATGGGGCTTGAAATGAGCTGGCATCAAACTCAGGAGATGTCACTGACTGTTTCATAAGCTCTGTTCCTCGTCTTTCTCTCTCTTGTGTTGGATTCTCGGATGTTTGAGGGGCTGAGGCTGCGTCTCCTGCTCCATATCTGTCTGCTTGTGTTGGAGTGTGTGTGAAGTGATCAGAGACGGCGGAGTAGAAGACTCGACCGGGTCAGCACCTCTCACAGACTTTTGTCTCGATATGAAGTGACGCAGAGGGATTTTTTAAAAAGTTGTCTGGTGTTGAACTTTTGTTAAACCTTCACCTCTTCATTTAAAGTTCATCAATATTGAACACATCGCAATCTCAAAAAATGTCCACGCTGCACTTTAACAATCCACAAGTAGGAAGCTGATAAGACGTATGGTTCTCGATACGCGAGCCACATCCAGATTTCTGGAATTAAAGTTTATAGTTAAATGGTTAATTATGAACATCTCCTGCATCTATATTTTTCTTGTTTATAGTCAAGAGAGCAGGAATGCAGTGACGTCTCTCACCTCAGGATACGATCTGTAATCGTCTTTGGTGAAAATCACTGCAGCTTGTCCAGAATTCAAAAAAATCTGAATTGAAACCAGGTTTCCAGCTGAACTCTGGCTCATCACAGAACCATTTTAATTTGACTTCAGATTCCAGCCAGGGGCCAGTGGCAGCTTTAATTTAATCAACTATGAATCAGGAGAGTTGAAGCTCTTCAAAGATGGTAAATGTGGACTGTGGACTGTCTAGTGTCCAAGCTGTCACATTTAGACGTGACCATAAACACAGGTTTCCTCTCTGCGTGGTAACGTGATTGTTTTTTGTTTTGATGAAGCTCTGACTCTGATTTTTAGATCTGAAATTAAACCAGAGTTCAATTTCTGACAAAATGCTAAATTAAAATAATACATTACAAAATACAATCAGTTTAAAAATGTGAAAAATAGATAAATCTAGACTCCGGGACAAACTGTCCCTTCAATCCCATCAAGCTGCACCAAATTACACAACCTCGTAAATGTCCTCTGAACATGTGAGACTGTTTTCATCAAGATCAGTGAGTTCTTCTGTTGAGTAAACTCTGAAGCTTCTCATCTCAACCTGCTGCTCAACGCTCTTTGCTCGCTGTCGGTTCTGTAAGAGACGACCCACCGCTCTGTCCGACCACATCTGGAGTTTCACATCCAGCCGAGTGACACATCAGCATTTTCCATCTTGTCATCGTTTGATGTAGAAAATATCTTTCGATGTTTGGAGCTGGAAACTCATAAAAAGAAAATAAAGCCATCAATGGGTTTAATCTGTTTTTAATTCACGGTTTCAGATACACAGGCTGTTTATCGACAATATATTTAAATTTATACCCAAACATGACACCGTGCAGACAGACACTCGTCATGTTTAATCAGAAATGACTATTTTATATTTGCAATATGTATTTAATTCTGTGTATTTGCTGCCGCGCTCTTACACTTGAGATTCTGATTTACAGCCTCACACATTCAAACCCACTTTGTTGTCCTCGCTGCCCTCGTTCACTCACTGAGCTGCAGTTCTCTTCAGTTCTTTGTCTTTGACCCGACTGGGACCTCATTTGTTCTCCTGTGTGCTTTTGTCCACATCCCTTTCTTCTCTCTGTGCCATTGTGTGGCTAAATCGGTCGCCACTTTAATTAAGAATCGTTTAATTAAAGAATCACCCCCCCCCCTCTTTCCATTTCTGCTGTTTCTGACCTTTTTGCTCGGGTGAATTTGAGCACGCTGCAAACTCATGATGGAGCCAAATCTGAAATCAGTATTTATATGTGCGGGGCGAGAGCATTGTTTCCCTGGAATGCAGAGACGCCAGTTTTCGTGTGAGAGGAGCGATGTGTGTGTTTACTGTACTGAACTCAGAAGATTATAATTCAGGGATGTGTGTGTGTGTCTGTGTGTGTCTCTGTGTGTGAGGTCCAACTCTCAGCTGTTACATGAGCCTGTCCACACCTTCCAGGACCTGCAGCGAGAGAGTATCCAGTTGCATGCGGCCGGGTCAGTCGAGGGCCAGGAACCTGCCTTCTCACGCAAACCAACAAGCAGGCAGTTAGCCCTGCGTGTGAGCGCGACAAACAAATAGTCACTGTCTGCACACAGGCAGAATGCTATCAGGCTGTCATCATCTCCCAGGCTGTAATTTGTCCTCCCAACAGATCTCATGGAGAGAGGGAGAAAAGAAACTGCTTTATCACTTCCATCCCCGAACACGAATCCCAGCGAGAGCTACATTTGATTTAGTTTCCGTTCAGTCCCCCGGGGAGCACATTACCATCACGCACTGTAACTGTCACTCTCTATTTTTCCCTTCTGCTCCATTTATTTACTTCTGTTTTCCTCTTTTGCTCAGTCTCACTGCCCTCGTCTCTTCCTCTGTCCGACAGTGGTGCAGATGACCTGTTGCCCATCCTGTCCTACGTGGCCCTGCGGAGCCAGTGTCCTCAGCTTGTGTCTGAATGTGCGGCTCTGGAGGAGTTCATTCACGAAGGGTGAGTCATCGAGATGTTTGCAAGAAATACACAAAATAACTGTCAGTACGACACGAGTCACAAGCTCATGTCCAACTTCATGGATGTGAAAATGGCCTCAGACTTTGATTATATATATATATTCAGTTGAGGAGAGCTGGTAGTGTTGAGGTGCGACATCATACCGAGTATCGTAGCGTGTGAAATCAGACCTCAACCCAGGAGATCTGCTCACAGCCATAAAAACAGAGGGTTGTAAAAGGCAGCTGGTCAGACTGGTGGTGGAGGAATGTCAAGATATCTGGGGTTTGATTTCCTTCTCTGTAAATAAAACACAAATAAAGTCCCACACTTTAAGTAGCTCAGTGGGTTTGAAGGGTTCGAGCGGTGGAGCCAGCTCCGGCCACAGGGTGTGAGGAGGTAGAATGATTGTGACCCGACTCACCGGTGAATTTTGATTTCATGCCCAAGTTTTCATTGTTATAAAATCAGGTCACAAAGAAACCCGGCAAGATCCAGAAGAGAAAATAAAGTAGATCCGTTTCATGTGCGGTCGGCAGAGGTGGAGCGGCTTGGAAACCACTCAGGACATTTTCCCTTGAAGATGAAGCATCAAACAAATTTAGACATTCGATTAATAGATAATGAATTAATGGTCTCGACCGAGGAGGTGACGCTCTCACTCCTGACCGCTGTTTGTAAGCAAGAGCATGAAAAAGCTCCCGGACAGATGAGCACCACACTTAGCACAAGGACGTTTATTTACAAACTGAACATTCTGTGTCGAGAACTTGAAACCAGTGGAGTCGCCCCCTGCTGGTCATGTGAGAGAATATGGGTTTCAGTCATGGTCACTTCCAGGACCCTTCTTCTATTTTTATCTCGTCTGTGATCACTGTGCGTCCTCGTCAAAGACTGAGGAGAAACTTGCATCATATGTGATATCTGGTTTCTTGCTTTAGTGTAATTGAAGTTTTTATACTCATAAGTTATGTATATTGTGATTTTTCTATATGTAGTATATCGTGTATATTGTGATTCGTATTTGGTTTCTGAGCCAAACTTTCTTTCTTTCTCAGTCTCACTCTGAACCAGTGCCCGGCTGCAGTCAGACTCACTGACTCAGGCCAGTGGAGATTTCACCACCAAGTCGTGTGGTTAACACAGACATTTGGTTTTTTTTTTTACATGCGGAGGAGAAAAGCTGGTTTGTTGTTTACAGCCGAATGAGAAATCAGGTCTTCACTGTGACGCTGGGTGTTTCAGATTCTTCTGGTCGGTCGTGATTCGTTCTGTTCAAGAAGTTAAAATAACTGGAGGAGCTCGTCCCAACGTTTGTCGCATTTAATTTACAGATGTGTTGTCGGTAGTAACGCCCCCGTCTCTGTTTCAGCTACTTGATTGGAGAGGAGGGATACTGTCTGACCTCCCTGCTGAGCGCCTTGGCCTATGTTGAGTCGCTGCACGCAGGAGCAGCTCAGCTTCCTGCGGACAAGCTCGTATGAAACAGGTAAAGGACGTTCTGAGGAAACTGAGATTATAAGTCGTGTGTGTTTAATGAAGCATGTTTGACGTCAGCAATGAAAAACTGCTGATTATAGTCCCGCCCCCACCGGTTCACATAAAACTGTTAACATCATTGTAGATTAATTTCAGACTTCTTGTGAAAATAATCTGCAGAAGTTAGTTTTCAGAATCCTTTTAAAACAAACCAGAGATTCAGCAGATCTGATGAAAAGAGGGAAACTTTTCCACAGTTCAGGAGCAACAGCATCAAATGCTCCGTCAGCTCTGGATTCTAAATGTGGAACAGGTTGAGAGCAGATGATCAGAGGCCGGCCGCTCAACTTCTCTGCTGCAGAATCACGCAAACTAAATACGGTTTGTTTGTTTGAGGCCAAAGTTGTAGACAAAGGATCGAAGACACAGATGTTGTTTCAATCATGTAACTTATGTCCAAAAGTCATTTCTACAAAAAGATTAAAAGATTAAACGATTTAGGTTTTGTAGAAAAATAGAAAAACATGATAAACATCTTTGTTGTATAGATTTAAAGGAACATTAAAGTTGTGTAATTATTCTCTAGCGGCTGTCGTTAATGAGCCGTGTTCCTCTGTCGAGCTGTGAGACTTTCATACTCAAACAACTGATTGGTTTTAAATGTCCGGTTTCATCACGATCTGTTTTTATATGTTTGAATTTCAACATCTGGCTGATTCCAGGAGATTATCAGGAGCTGTGAAAGCAGCAGACGTCGACGAGCACCCGGTCTCAGCTGATCTGAGCTCAGACTGTTACCTGCTGTGTGTAGTGTGAGAGAGAACCTGGTGTTTCCAGCAACTTCACCCCGAACACAAGTTTTTAAATATGTTGTTGTTCCGTTCTGTGTTGTAGGAAACTCTTCATCCCTGCTGAACACGCAGCTTCCTGCCAGTTGTGCAGAGTCATGTGATCTTATAAGTGCGGCGCTCGCTTTACAACGCAGGACGAACCCGCTGCCCGAGTCGTTTCTAACCAATCAGAGCCTGCGAGTTATCGTCAGACATCGTTTTCCGAGAGGAGCGAACGAACTCTGAACGCCGGCTCGTTGGAGGGATTTGATCGTGGTTGAGATTGGACTCGTGATGCCGCTGATGTGTGAATGCTTCTCAAGACAAAAGCTCAGATACGGTTTCACGTGATTTACAAATATGTTTCGTTTTTTTCTCTTTCATTCAGGAAAAGAGTCAAATCTGTGGGAGCTGAGGCTGAAGTTGTTCAAAATGTGAATCAGACAAACGCTTGTGCTTCAGTTTGCATGAGACTAAATAACAGCAGATGGGAAACTAACTTCACGCTGAGGAACTGGAGTCAGGCTTGTTTCAGTCCGGTGCCAAATTTAAATGAATGCACTTTGGGTGAGGAGGCGTTCAGGGGTCACTGGATGTTTGAGTTGTTTGAGGTCAGGCAGTGGATGAGTTGTGTCACAGATGAGCACAGGGGGAAAAGTGTGAGCTGGTATTTATTGAAGGTTACGAAACTGTTGCACTTTGGGAGTTTTGCCCGTGAGACATGTTACAAGCCTCAGTCACGGTTCACAGGTTAACGAGACCTTTGAATCATAAGTTTTCATTTTTATTTTTTAACAAAGCAAAACTAAAAGTTAACCACCTTTAGTTTCACAGCTTGTTTTATACTTTTTACCCATTTCTCAATGAAAAACCAACCAAGGAGAATATTAGATCTACGACAGTAAAGGGATTGAGTCATGTTGATGAGTTAATATTTTAAAAAAAGTTTCTAACTGTTTGGTTCTCAAATACATGCAGACCCTAAATACCTTCTTCTTTTTTTTTTTGCTTGAACGTAAAACTGTGTCTTTAGACGAATGAGATTAAAATCACAAGTTTACCAACTTAATGTCGAGCAGGTTGATCGTGGTTAAAAGTCACTTTCTGTGGAATTAATGGAATAAATGGAAACCAGTTGCTGCAGGAAGGAGATTCCTTTTATAATAAGCTATTAAACATCAGCCTGTGAGCAGCTATTATATTATTAACTATCTTATGAGTCCACATCTTGAGCAGACTTGTCTCTGCTCGTCTTTTCGCTTCACTACAGATGAACTACAGTTTTCTCTTTTTATTTTGTTTGGTTTGTTTTTCTTTAATTTCCTTTCTTTTTAAATGAATTAAATTTAGTCCAGATGCAAAAGAAGTGAAACTATGTCTGAACTGTTGTTACGTTAATACCAAAAACAGATATCTATGTGATAAACGTGAATGTAATTATAATGTAAATGGAAGAACGCTGTGACATTTTGCAAAGTGGATGAAACCACTCGTGTAAATGAATTGTACATTTTGTTATAATGTGAATATTATTTCATTATTAAACTAATTTACTGTGAGCGCCTGAGAGTGTGACGTCGAGTGTTTGAGAGATGAGTCAATAAAGAGACGAGAGAAATGTTCAGGATCATGTGACGTGTGGTGCTTTCACTCACCTGCTCACCTGTCGACCAATCACAGCCAGCGTCAACAGATCCAGAGCAACTTATCGAAGTTCAATAATTCACTTGGTGCAGGTGAAATATTTCAGTGCGTCGGTACAAAGTCATGTTTCTGGTTCAAGGTCTAAACACGAATATCAGAAACAGATGACACTGTTGTACTTTTCATCCCATCGAGTTTCTTGTTGGATCCTCATCACTTCGGTGATAACTTCACTTTTCCTCTGACTGCAGATTATGTTTATTGTAGAATCTGTGATAGATCGTCGTGAACTCTTAAATCACACAAACCAAAGCACAGCCACGTTTAGAAGAACTGAAGTATCGGTTGGTTTGTCATAAAAAAGATGAAATATAACTTAATTTGCTGCAGAGGAACTTTATGACCCGATGGAAACTTAACATTATGTATAAAAAGGTTTTTGTATCTTGCCCATGGATCAGTTTCAGGTTCTGACTCCCACCAAGAGGTTTCATGTCATTTACATGATTTAAAGAGCGACTGAGGATTTTAACCTCAGATCAACACCCAACTGAAATCTTTGTGTAACTGACAACTTGAAATCTGAACTTACTTCTCGGTCCTGATAGAAATGTGCGTCCTCTCCTCTGAAGTTCAAACATGGCTGCTGTGGTTCAATGTTCTCACCCTGTTGTTAAACTTAAAACCACATTTTGAACCAATTAGTTTGTAATTGCTGTGGGACGTTCGTCTGTTTACGAGCGTTTTAATGGCGTGTCTGAGTCCTTTCAGCTCGATGGACACACCCTGCTGGAGATGGCGTGACTTGAGAGCTGGCGGCTGACGTGACACGAGCCTCGGCAGTATTTAGACCTTATCAATCACTTCTTTAGTCATGCTGGGCCGATCTCGTGGCGTGGCCTGGTGAGTCAGCGTGGTGCGTTCAAACACTCAAACCTCCATCGCTGCCATGGAGACGTCTCGCAGCCAAAATCGCAGCTTGTTTTTCCGTCTGATCCCAAATTTGAATCTAACTCATCTCAGCAGCTCCAGTTTTTTAATCAGAAGCAGAAAAGTCGTTTGGCGTCTTTCTACTTGTGAACATCGAACTGGTCTGAGTTTCCTCATTTCCCATGTCCCCCTGCTCTGACCATGATCCGCGGCATCGTCAGGTCATGAAGACGAGACGCAGCCATGAACAGGACTTTCTGTCTCCATCTCTTTTCCCTCCACTTACTCTCAAGTTACCAAATCAACCTCTGAAGCTCAACAGACGTCCTGTCCTCTGATTGGCTCTCGCTCGGTGCCTCTTGATTCATGGATCACTAAAGATCTCAGAACACTTTTATATTTCTCTCTTCACAGTTCAGGTCAGACGGACTGACTGACATCTCCACCTCTGCAGAGTCACAGTCCCACACTTCCCTCCGGACGAACAAACGTTCTCCTGTTCCGACGTTTCAACGAGTTCCCTCTCATTGAATCCGTCACTAACGTTTCCCCCTGACCCCCGGTCTGTTGAGCCTCGTTAGGCGAACCCTGGCCCCTCGGCCCCGCTCGAACAAAAGCCAGTTTTCGTTTCCTATTAGAATGAGATGAGTCATCGACGGCGGGCGAACATGGCCGCCGCTTGTGTGGGTGTGTTTGACCTTTTCCTTTCAGGGGGGAGAGCGGGGGGGGGGGGAGAAAGAGAAAGTGGGGCCCAGTGGGTTTAATCATCATTTGGCCTAATTGAGCCGTGAGCCGACGAGTTGGAAACAAAAACTGTGTGAACGCCCGCCCACCCCCCGTCCTGACCCCCCACCACGACTACTCTCTCCGCTCGGCTTTCTTGTCCAATCCCAGTCGTCCTCATCAACCTCGGACGGGACAGATCGTCCGTATCTTTATTGGCAAAACAGATTTACGTTCTTATTGCAGGAGCACGAACACATCAGCAGGACATTATATGAGACAACAATACGACTGTACACAACAGAGCGTTACACAACGTCCCCTCTGACGCCACAGTCTGCTGCCGCTCGGTTCATCTGAGGGACATGATGTCCCAAATAAAGGGGGACAGACAAAGGGGCCTATAGGGGGTCAGCGCTGGTTCTTCGGACCGGGACAGAGAATCACGCTAGGGGACGTAAATGTGTCAAACTAACCCTGCTGTTAAAAAACAACCCAGTCGCTCTGTGTCCTTTGTCTTTGTCCTCAATGTTGATGAACACGATGGATTAAAGCTCAAGATAAAGTTGAAGATAACGTGTTTATTGATTAGTTTTACTTTATAAAATCTTTACATGGATTGTTACGTGTTCATGTCATGACAGTGATTTACTCCTCAGAGCAACATCCTTCACCTGAGTCCGTTCTGATCCACTGACACTGAACTTTAAATTCTGTCCTGATCGAGTCCAGCGGCGTCAAACAAAAAGCTCGTCGGAGACGGATTTGAACTTTTCTCTCTCTTCTTGTCTGACCAGCTCTAAACATCTTGAATATGTCGGAGTGGCACCGCTGGCCGAGTGGAGACTAAATCAGCTGAGCCAGAATCAGTTCTTTGTCGTCACAATCGATGAATCAACATATGTGACACACGTTAAAACTTTCTCCATCTGTCTGAATCTCAGGTCCTAAACATCTCAGGTCACTAAGTTATTTTTCCTCTAGTCAAACTGTTAAACTGTCAAAATCTTTAAATCTCCAGTATTTACAGACGTCAGTCCTCGTCAGCAGAAAACTCCACAGCGTCCCTTTAAGTCCAGATTCCTCCGATTCTCTTTGACCGGTTGTTAGAAAAGAAATAAGACTGAGCTTCATGTTTCAGTAGATCCACACAGAGAATGCAGTTATATTGGATGTTATATGAACACGACAGAACATTTCTGTTACAATATTTCTATAGAAACAAGCAACAATGAGAAGACGAGTATTATAAATCCTTTGTGTGTGTTACAAACAGTTCATGCAGAGAAAGCTGAAGATCTCAGAACAACGAGCAGGACCGAGTTTACAGTGTTAGTTGAATATTATACAATTCAGATAAAGTTGTGCAAAGACGGTTTAGAGTCGTGAGAGAGGCGGAGCAGACGACCCTGTGATATCGGGGACACGTCTCCGAGTCTAGAGGTTCTTCTCCAGAAGGACGGTCTTTAAGTCTGCGGGACAGCTGATGGTGAAGACCGTGTGGGAGGAGTTTCTCTTCTCCACCAGGGCGGCGACAGCTTCGCCCAGGTCCAGGTGGTTCAGGTAACCAGGAGCCATCCGCTCGGGAGCAGCTACGCCTGCGTCGATCTTCACCTGCCGCCGGAACCCGAGAGAAACGGTTTCAAGACTTTTATCTTGTCAGTTTAACACAACAGGAGAGTGTGATCATCGGGCTGTGACCACATCATCTCACCCTCTTCACACAGAGGTCAAACCGAGTGTGAGCACTGAGGTCGTGATGCGTTCAGGGCCTCACCTGGTTGAGTTTACAGGGAACGTCGGGGTATTCCTCTCGTAGAACCTGGCAGAACGCCAGAGAGCTGGCGGCTCCCACCGTCAGGAAACCGGTTCCTGGCATCAGCAGCTTTTCTCCTGCTCCTCCTGAGGCACAGACACGTTCAAGTGAACTTTACTGACGAAGAAGAAAATCCAGGATTGTTTCTTCGATCCGAGAAACTGATTTAAACAACTTACGTTTACTTAAAGAATTTAAAAGACAAATCTGATGTTTTAAAGCTTCACCATCAATATTTTTATAACAACTTTTTAACGAATCATCTCAAAGTTGCATTTAGACCAAAAACACCTGGAACCTTTTTTAAGGAAGTAAAACGTTCCTGCAGAACGTTGAACTTCTGGCGACAACAAGCTGTTCCACTCATGTCCACCAGGCGGCGTTAACGCAGAAGACTGTGCAACAACAATGACATCAACACTAACATGGAGGAGATTTAAGTGGAGCCGCTGCTGTTTATTCTCTTTAATATAATAATAATTCAGACTTGAATAAAAGACGCTGCACATGATGCTACTGAAAATACTTCATATTAAACGACGTCTGGTTCCATAAAGATTTTATTAATCACGTTTCCTTGTATTTAAGATGAACCGATGATTCTGTGTTTTCAGCTTCTGTCTGTAAAAACACAAATAACCGTTTTCTGTCGAGCGTCCGATGAACAGAGAGACACAGGCTGAAGGACTCACCTGTGATGAAGGTGTAGGTGCAGCGGGAGTCGTCTCTCACCAGCGGGAAGAAAGTCTTCCATGAAACGAACGTGCTGAAGAGGAGGGTCTCAATCACCTGGAGAGAGAGAGAGCAAGAGAGCGAGAGCGAGAGAGAGAGAGAGATGAAGGAGGAAAAGATGGTTACTGACAAAAGTAAATAAGAAAATAACTGAGGTCACATTTTAGAATTCAACAACTTTACTTTGGTTTTAACTGCAAATGATTTTTTTTATTCTTGTTTTTCAAGATCACATTGAATCTCACTTGATTTTTCGGTTTGTTGTTGACTCTAATGTTTTCATGTGTGTGCTCTCACCCAGTGCAGCTCTTTCACAGGCTGGGTGTGGGGGGGCCCTCCCTGCCACCAGCTGAAGCCCAAAGAGGAAACGATGTCCGTCACCTTCCCCACGGCCTCCAGCAGCGCCTGCTTGGCCTGCTCCGCCCCCTCCTCGGACCCTGGGACATCAGGACGCAGTCATTTAAAACCTGATTTGTGCGACTGTCGTCGGACTGACACAGTTTTCTGCAGCTGATTGTTTTTGATTTATTCTGTGACACTGTGATCCGTCATCTGGCACCGAGGGGAAAGTTTCCTCTTCATATATTGTTCATGTCCAGGACACGGTGACTTAATAACCTGCTCCCCTGAGGATGAACCCTTTTTAAATGGAGTGACTGTGACGAGCTGTCCTGTGGAACATCTTCTTGTGAAGATCATCGTCCAGCTCACATAGAATTTATAGTTTCATAAAAAGTCTGAGGAAAACGTTGATGCTCCCACCGGCCTCGTCTTTTTCCTGCTACCCTGATAAATGTGTTCTTCATTGTTTGGTTTAGAAAATGATGGAAAGTAAGTTCACTTAAAAAAATAGGAAACTGATGTTTCTCCTTCACCACAAATATTTTATATTTTACTCCAGAACCAAGAGATTTAAAAAGCTGGAAGTTACCAGAGAGTAATCTGTAATCACACACATCTAATCACAGGAGAGACATGAAGACATGAAGACATGAAGAAGAAGGACAGAGACGTACCCACATCCCCCACTATAGTTGTGAGGTTTTCCTTTGTGCTCGGAGAGATGAAGGTCCGGAGTTTGTCCAGTCGACTGCTGTCCCTGGAGATCACTGCCACTTTAAAACCTACACACACACACACACGTACATTAATCTGTGGTGCGGAGCAGAACCTTTAACACAAACAGGCCTAATCCCTCTCTCATGAGAACACTTGTTTATCAAGGTCATCAGACGGATGAACGTGACAGCAGATGGTAACTGCTCCGTTCAAACATGCAACGTGAATCTAAAAACTACAAACGCTTGTAAACGCTCATCACGGCTCCGCCTCCTCCACATGAGGATTAATGTCCTTATTGATAATAATGATGATGTGAAGCTCAGACCAGTTTAAAAAACACTACGATGACAACAAAGAGCGTAAACGATCCTAATCTCAGGGAAACACCTGAAGCACAGACACGTTTCAGTTCTGTGTTGTATGTTTGAGTTGTTTCCAATGTTCCCTTTGGAATAAGAGTGTTTTAAATAATGTTGTCATTGCAGTTCATTCTGAGATTTTAACATTTTAATCTTTGCAAACTTCAGGGTCTACATTTATGTTTTTTGTTAATTGATTATGTTGAAAACCTTCAGCATGGAAACGACAGGAGAAACAGCTCTGTGCCATTTAACGTGCAGCCGAAGACGATTCTCCTGCTCTGGGACACTGTCTCAGTGTGTTCCATCACTTTCATTCAAGTTCAACTATTAGACATTCAACTATTCGGGTTCAGATCATTTTCATAAATGTTCATAAATAATTTATAAACCATCTGCAGAGAAGTTTGACATGATGGAATAAACCTGAGACACTGACTGTTCGTAAAACTGTCTCCAAACTCTCTGGAGCTCAGTGAACGCAGAGGATGTAAATCTCAGAGTTGGTTTTCTTCAGACCTCTCAGTGCTAGAGGAGGTTCTCTGTCTCCCTGTGTCTCCCTCTGTCTCCCTGTGTGTCTCCCTCTGACTCCCTGTGTCTCCGTGTGTCTCCCTGTGTCTCCCTGTGTCTCCCTCTGTCTCCCTGTGTCTCC